ACCTATGTTTAATATGCCCAAATTTAGGGAGAGCTAAAAGACATTCTACAAATAAATATAGCTATGAAATAAAATTATAGCACTTTACTAAAAAGGGATGTAATGTTATTTAACGAAGTATTTTATATATGACTTACCACTATTCTAGACATAAATTTTTTTTTTCTTAATTCTTTCCTGTGTTAACTAGGGTTATTTTCTAGTTAAGATAATCCTGCTGGAGAACAGATGCTATCCAATATTTATTACAACACATGAGTTGTGTTGTTCACAATACTGAATTTCTTAAGATGGGATATCTTATTTAAAAAGGAGGGGGGAAAGCCCTATATTTTCTTTACTTCAGAACTGTGGTGCCAAGGGATAGAGATTAAAATGTTCCATATTTAGTTTCTGAGATTGGGCTTGTTTAGTACAATACCATGGTTTTAGAAGTCTGTACTAGGAACATTTTCCAAATACATTTTTTATATTTCAGATGTAATGCAGTGCACTTTTATTTGAACAATAAAAAAAAAAAACGTAATTTTTTGAGACCATGAAGGTCTTTTTTTTAATTTTGAAAATATGTGGTATGTGTATATGCAGACTAAATCAATCTTTTAAGCAGTGATTTAATTCTTGGACATTACACTTGAGTTAGTTCACGCCTTAAATCCCCAAATAGTTAATATCTCAATTACTCTATAATAACTTTATACCATCCATTCCCAACAAAATCCCACATTTCATGCCTTTTCAACATACATTTTGACATACTCAACATATTTACAAACACTGACTTAAGTGTTTATAGGAAAGAAATTTCCCCTCCTATTTCCCATTACTGAAAAGTTGTTTTTATTAATACATGAAAATTAATTTTTTTTAAATGACTATACTGATAATCATTTTTCTTCTTTGGAAAAGGTAAATAGCATATTAACTAATCCTGTCTTGTTCTTCACAAAAATAATAGTCCATCTGTGTTTTGACTCAAATAACCTAAATATACATTTTGTAAAAATGTTGTACCCTATATTATTTTTAAAACAGTACAGAGTGTTGGACTAAACAGGAAAACCCAAAGTTATAAAATGTCTTCAGATCTAAATCCCAGGTTGATGTTTTTCATAACATTCTTATTCCCACAGATCTGGCATTACAGAACATTTAAAGTGTACCAAAACATTGTTTTAAATAACAGATTTTAAAAGTAAGATTATTTCAGAATGATTAAAATAGCAAAGAAAAACCAAGTCACTGCTTTTAAAACCACTATAAGCAGAGATTCAGTATTCCATTCTCTAATATAGTCTTACTTTAGGTAAATGAATCTATGCAGATATCTTACACTTCCAATGTTTGCTGTCCCTGATACTAAATTCTAAATGTTCCTTCATATCTTTGGAAATACATATCCTATTGATAAATGGTTGCTTAAGTCATAGCATTTGATTAACTCAGGTGACTGGAATTTAAGATGGGAGCATCATCAGTGCTTTAATAAGTCTTAATGTGTTGTACACCTTGATTGCAAAAATACGATCACTTGAATTTTGGATAAGTGTAAAGGAATATGTGCCACTGTGGCTTTAACAGAATACCTTTATAATGTAACATAATACAGACCTAATATCTATGGTGTAGGAAGTTCCAGATTATACTTTTAAATGAATTCACACTTTTGAAAAACAAAAGCCAACTTTGCATGTTCAATGCTTGAAAAACAATGATAAGAAAGATGGCAAGCGGATGTCTTTCAATAAAGAGAAAAAAGCCAATTCTAGATTAGGTAGCTTTGGTTTTGAGAAGTAATGCCGTAAATAAGAAAGAAAAACTGAAATCTTAACTGATTCTAAGAAATCACTAACAATTGCTCATGAAAACATTTCGTAAAGGTGTATGTATGTATATATATATATTTATATACACACACACACATATACACATACACGCCCTAGTAGGCTACAGTCATTTAGGTTTTTGACAAACATTTCAGAAGGCTTATTTGGGAAACGAGAAGCCTAAATGGTTACATGATAATGATAGCCTATATTCAAATTTTGAGCACTTAATTCAGGCTACTACAACAAAAATACTACACACTGAGGAGCCTAAACAACAGAAATTTATCTCACAGTTCTGAAAGCTACAATGTCTAATGTCAATATGCCAGCCTTTATGGTTTCTGTTGGCGGCCTTCTGTCTCATTTGCAGATGGCTTTCTCCTTTCTTAATGTAGGGCAAAAAAAGGTCATCTTGCTTTTGTCTTTTCCTTTTTTTTTTGTTTGAGACAAGATTTCGCTCTGTCACCCAGGCTGGAATGCAGTGGTGTGGCGTGATAACAGCTCACTGCAACCTCAAGCTCAGGTTCATGTGATCCTCCCCTCCTAGCCTCCCAAAGCACAGGAATTTACAGGCATAAACCACCATGCCCAGCCTTGTTTCTTAAGCAGGCACAAATCCAATTTGAGAGCTCTACCCATAAGACCAATAACTTCCCGAAGGCCCTACCTCCAAATACTGTCACATTGGGGTCTCAACAAAGAATCTGGGGAAGACAAAAACTCCATTCCTGTGTTCATGTCCAATGTAGCAAGCTCCTGCCCAATGTAGCAAGCTCCATTCCTGTGTTTGTACCATGATGGTTAAGAATTACAGAGACTGCAGAAGGAAAATGTAATATATAGTCTCTTCTTAAGGAATTTAAAGTTGAGAAATTAACTGACATAACACTAATATCAAAGACTGGAATAAGCTAATTATAAATGTTGAACTTTTAAAAATGTTTAAATACATTGCACAAGTTCATTTGCAAAGAGAATTGACAAATAATTTCAGTTGATTCACTCAGTTGTATGGTCATTTTGTACTGTACTCTGAAACTCAAAAGATACAATCACAATGTTGTGTAAACAGTACCTATACATTAGTAGTAACACTTTCTTTTGCATTGGGCTTCAAAATTGACAAATACTTCCCCCAACATCCTCTACCAAGTAGATAGCAAGTTCTAATCATCTTCATTATGTGGATTAAGAAATGTGTTTATACATGTATAGATGAAATTAGCAGAAGTTAAATATTTATAAATTTTATTTAGATCATAATATTCAAACTTAAGGAAATAGTTTTTTAAATGACAATATAACAACACAAAATATAGCAAAAATGTGTTCCTATGTTTAGCAGAAGTTAAATATTCATAAATTTTATTTAGATCACAATATTCAAACTTAAGGAAATACTTTTTAAAAATGAGAATGTAACATGAACACAATTATGTAGCAAAAAATGTGTTCCTACACTAAAGTCCCATTTCTGACCCCTGATATAACTCCACAAAATTAAATCTCAGGGATTGCAGAACAGCTTACTGTTTTGTTTTGTTTTGTTTTCTTAAGAGATGACAGTCTTGCTTGCTCTGTCACCCAGGCTGGAGTGCACTAGCTCGATCATGGCTCACTGCAGCCTTGGACTCACGGGGCTCAAGCAATCCTCCCACCTCAACCTCCTGGTAGCTGGCACCACAAGTCCAAGCCACCATATCTGGCTAATTTTTGTATTTGTTGTAGAGATGAGGTCGGGCCATGTTGCCAAGATCAGCCCTTAAGGTATCCTCCCACCTCAGCCTCCCAAAGTGCTAGGATTATAGGCGTGATCCACTGTGCCTAGCAAGAATATCTTGAAAATTCGGTTCAGATTATGAACAGTCTGAACAGTAGTCAGTAGCAAATAATGGCTTTTCTTTTAACTTAATAAATGGATAAAGAAATAGATTGGTAGGTTCTTCTTTTAGAAGAAGTTTATGTATAGGATGTGTGTGTGTGTGTTTAAACACGTTTAAAAATTCATGTAAAAGTTTATCAGTCAGTTTGGAAAGCAGATGACTTACAGAATCCTGAGAAAGTGATCATAGGGTACCCTTGGTTAGTGCACAGTGAAGGGCAAACGATAGCTGCCGTTTGACATTACCCAACATTTGCTGGAGGCTTCTTTGACTAAATAAATATATAAAATCAATGTTTACTCCTCACAACATATTTTGTTCTGTAGTCTGGGGTGACCCTTCTGTGAGGAACCTCCTCTGTGTCATTCCAGTTTGTTGTTTCCAGGAACACAAAAGTAAAAACTATATAGTTGCCGGGCACGGTGGCTCATGCCTGTAATCCCAGCACCTTGGGAGGCCGAGGCAGGCGGATCACGAGGTCAAAAGATCAAGAGCATCCTGGCCAATATGGTGAAACCTCGTCTCTAAAAAAAATAAAAATAAAAAATAGAAAAGAAAAAAAGATTTAAAAACTATATAGTCCATGTAGATTCAACGTATTCCTTTTGACTAGAAGACATCTAATGCTGAGTTAAGGCTCTTTAAAGCTTATATAGAATACAAGTAAAGTCTAGTAAGGAATTCACCGCACTGCCATCGATACTGCCAGTGATAGTTTCCCTTAAATCAAGACATGACACTTTATCTTACTATAAGATTTTTCTGCTATTTATAATGGAACACAAAACATTGAAGAAATTCAGTTTGCAGGTGGTGTTCAAAATACTAACTGGAACAGATGGCCATTTAATTAAGTATACAAGAGACTGAACTATGCGTCGTGCTTTAAGCATGCTTATTAACACTCAGGGTCAGCAAGAAACATGCGTCACTCTCCGGGCCGGCATTTTAGCAACATGTTACTCTTTGGTATTATAATCTATCGTATTCTCTAGCGGAAGCAATCGAGTGCACGTAAAGAGGTTGGGGATCAGCTTCTGGTCACAAAAAAACACCGAGCAAAGGTGATTACACTACAAATGACGATTAGCTTTAGCGAACTAGAATGGACAGTTATATGGTGAAGACGAACTTTAGACATGGCTCCACCCATGTCTCTGCAGTCTGGTCCGGCCTCGGAGTAATTCCACCCCAGCAGCGGGAAAGCTTCGCGTGTGCGCAGTAGGCCTGCCCAATGCCAAGTGGGAAAGGCGGAACTTACCTATCTCCTGCGTCATATCCACTGCGACGGAAGTCGTCACCGGCTTGAATGGGAAGGTCAGTCACAGCTGCAGGTGGGTGTGCATGCGCTTTATGCCCGCTGTTCCTGACGCATGCGCCTGTCAGCCTTGGCTGGCCGGTGCATGTCCGCTGAATTGTGAGGCCCGGGTTCTGGGCTCTGCCGTGGTGGAGAAATGCTGTGCCGGCTTGGCGGTCGGTGGCTGCGGCCACTCCCTGCCCTGCAGCTTCGGGCGGGGTACCCGCCGCTTGCACCGGTTCCTACGACCGGTGCCAAGCGCCCCACTCTCCCAGTGTGGGCAGTGGCACCAGTCTCTGCAGTAGATGGGAACGGCTGGTACGAGGCCCTGGCCGCTTCTTCGCCGGTGCGGGTTGCGGAGGAAGTACTGCTCGGCGTGCACGCCACCACGGGACTGCCCTGGTGGGGTGGCATTCTGGTCTCCACAGTGGCCTTGCGGGGCGCAGTCACGCTGCCCTTGGCTGCCTACCAGCACTACATCCTGGCCAAGGTGAGGGGCGCCGAGCCGTGCGCGTGCCCTGCGCGGCAACCCCTGCAGTGGAAGAAAGTCGACATTCACTCAGGGTTTTCGATCCCACGATATTGCCTGCTGCAGTGCTTAGTGTTTAATCATCGTGACTATTGTGACCATTTTAGCGTTTAAAAAAATTTAGCATTAGGTGTGTTAAATAAGATTTTGTACACATGAACCTGTCATTTCGTTTTCCTTGCTGAGTTTGTGCTCCGAGTACAAGTGGTTACTAAAGTTCTCTAAGAGAATGGAAACAAAGCAGTCAGTGGCAGAAGAAATTGTATTGGCGAAACCTATAAAATTCATGTTTTAAAAGTTTTAACAGCCAGTATGCCTGCATACTATTAGCACTTTGCGAATTTGATTCCTATCCAAGCTGTGTCTGGTTGGTCACAGTCACTTTAACCTTTTATTGCTGAATCCTTTTTTCTGAGTAATCAGGATAGGAATACCTTCCTTGCCTACTTTGCAACGTTATGAGAGCAAGTCAGATGATATAGGTTAAAGTGTTTGATTATTCAAATGGGGTAGTTAAAAAATAGTGGCTTTCATGTTTTTAGGTTGTGAGCATTGGGGAAAAAAATCGGAAACAGAACAGGAACGGAATCAGCAGCAACATTAAGTCAGTGAGCTACTTTACAGGAAAAATTAACACAGGGCAGGAATAAATGCAATTTTTATTTTTGATTTGTGTCTATCACAGTGCATTAAAGGTTCTTAACAGACTGCAGTTTTCTCTGCTTACGTTACTAGGAAATCTAGAGATGGAACAGTAAAGCCCAGGGTGCAGTCCTCATGTAATACTTCTAACCCTGTGAAGTAGATGCTGTTATATATTTTATATGTGAGGGAACATGATTTTAGAGCTTACTTGCCTATGAGCACATGGATAAGTATACATTTTGAATTTTTGAATGAGGACATTTTAAGCAAATTGACATCATGTATTTAGACTTAGGTTTCTTGACATGATCAGTAAACTACATTTTTAAATGACTCAAGGGAATAGTGTGAAAAATTATCAGTGATTATTAATAAAGGTCCTTTATGTGCTCATAACAAAATCTATTTTTTAGCTAGGTGGAAAATTTGCAGCCAGAAATAAAAGCTATTGCCAAGCATCTTAACCAAGAAGTTGCAGTTCGTGCAAGTCAGTTGGGGTGGTCCAAAAGAGTTGCCAGGTAAGCTAATTATATGCATATAAGACCATACACACATGTACATAATGGTAATGTTAATTATAAGTTTGAGTATTCCATAGTTTTGGCAGTAAAGTGTTTCTTTTACATATATATATATATATAATTATTTTTTTTCTTGAGATGGAGTTTTGCTCTTGTTGCCCAGGCTGGAATGCAATGGTGCAATCTCTGCTCACTGCAACCTCCACCTCCTGGGTTCAAGCGATTCTCCTGCCTCAGCGCCCCCCCCGCCCCCGATTTGCTGGGATTATAGGGATGCACCACCATGCCCAGCTAACTTTGTATTTTTAGTGGAGACGGGGTTTCTCCATGTTGGTCAGGCTGGTCTCAAACTCCTAACCTCAAGTGATCTGCTGGTCTTGGTCTCCCAAAGTGTTGGCATTACAGGAGTGTGCACTGTGCCCGGCCTACTCTTTTATACCTTAATACGTTATTATGTGGCATGATAGTTTCATATGCTGGACTGAAGGCAAAGAAATATATAAAGAGACAGATAAGAAGAGCATGTTCCTATTTTTTAGGGATTCCAGCCTATTGAAAAAGACCTGTAATCAAATAATAATGTCAGTGAACTTAACTACTATATAAAGATTATGTGCAAGGCGGTGGATCATCAAGGAGAGTCAGGCAGGAAAGTCAAGATTATGTACAAGGAGCTAGATCATCAAGGAAGCACTGGCAGCATGAAGATACTTTGCCATTCTGTTGTGATGTTGGTCAACAAATGACACATTATTTACAATCTTGACCTTTTAGAAAAGATACAGCAGGTAATAGCTTGCAGGAAAGAGGAGGTAGAAAACATAAGTGCCACAGTAGAAACACTTTGATTGCCAAGGTGTTGTCCATCTATTGTGGTTATTCTGTGCAGTTGTCTGCCTGGGCTCTTGGAAAGCCCCAATCTAAGGGTGCTTGGTTGTGCCCAAGTATGTCTTCATTCATTCACTGGGAACTTACAAGCTCTCCTGCTTCAATCAACCTAAGCTTCTCCTTAATCAGTTTCCCAAATTCTAATCCTTACTAGACTGTGACAAATATTCTCCTTTTTACAGCAGTGAAAAAAGGGCTTTGTAGTATCAATCTGTTTTATGTATGTATTGTTATCCATGTATTTTTATCTGTATAGGTATAAATTTCCCAACTATCTTTAATATGAGATTGTGTCCTATCTTTATTTAGTGTTAAAAAGACCTGACATTTAAAAAACTCCTGGTGATCTTTATCTTCATTTGGTAAAAATTGAAAGTTGACAGACCTATAGTTTTGAAATTTTACTGATCAAAGAAGTCGAAAGCTTCAGCCATAGTCCAAAAGAACCAAATTAATAGCTGCTTGCCTGGGTTACCAGCGCAGCCTAGGTAAGAGTGTGGCAACTTTTAAGCAGCACTGTCAGGATGGTTGGCCAGATATATCCTTACAGATGTCTCTTTCTGGGAAGAAACATGTCAGATGGACAGTATGTCAGATGGACAGCCAGGAAAGTGGGCTTTTCACACAAATGATATAATACAATACTTCTAAAGGCATGCTGATGTGGAAGTCTGATTTGTTGGATGAACTAAAGTCATCCAGGGACCAGAATATGCAAGTGTCTAGAGGAGTAAAACAAGAAATAAAATTGGAAGAATAGGCAGATGTGAAATTATGAAGGACCTAGAATGTTTTTGTGTACTCTTTTATACACTATAATATGACTAAATTCAGAAAATCTATTGAATGCTTGATTTGTACAAATTGTATGATACAGGAGATTTAAAGATGAGTAAAATAGAACACTTCCTCCTCAAGAATACTTCAGTTTTTGTTTTTTTTGTTTGTTTGTTTTTGTTTTGCTTTTTGAGACGGTGTCTTGTGTTGCCCAGGCTGGAGTGCAGTGGCACAATTTCGGCTCACTGCAACCTCCTCCTCCTGGATTCAAGTGGTTTTTCTGCCTCAGCCTCCAGAGTAGTTGGGACTACAGGTGCATAGCACCACACCGGGCTAATTTTTGTATTTTTAGTAGAGATGGGGTTTCACCATATTGGTCAGGCTGATCAAACTCCTGACCTCATGGTCCGCTCACCTCGGGCCCCCAAAGTGCTGGGATTACAGATGTGAGCCACCATGCCTGGCCATTTTTATTTGTTTTTTAACTCCTATTCTCTTGGACCTGAAGGAAGACTGTAGTCTAGAAAGTAAGATTTCAGGAAAGAAACAGTAGTAACTAATATGATTAACAGAGAAACAGATTAAAAATGTCTTTGTGAGATAGTTGATTGAACAATGGAGACTATTTTGACAGGCCAAGAGCATACACAGTATAAAACCACATAGCTCCAAAAGGTATATTCGGGGATGAAGTCATTAAGTTTGGCTGGAGTGGAGAGATTTGATTAAAATTTGCTTTTAGCTTCCATATTTCCAATATTAATTGTAGTTATACTATGTCAGTAGTGAAATTCACTGTTAAAGCCTAATCAGCAAAGACCTTTACCAGAGACAAAGCCTGTAGTCTGACAATTTCAGATTGTTATATAACTTGTGTACAATACTGTAGGAATTTTGATAAAAGGACTTATTTGCCTCTTGTTTAGGCAACCCCTTAACATGACTTTGACAGCTGAAACCCTTATACAAATCCTTTAGCTAATAACTACAGCAGGAGCTATTTGTCCTATGGGAATAAAGCACAATTCTTAGTCAAATGACATTTTCTCTTTTCCCTTTTTTTCCCACTCATCTCAATCTAGGCTCACGTATCTAAAGAACATGAAGAGGCTAGTTTCAGAGATATATGTGCGAGATAACTGCCACCCTTTCAAAGCCACTGTGTTGGTTTGGATTCAGATTCCAGTATGGGTCTTCATGTCTGTTGCTCTCCGGAATTTTAGCACAGGGGCAACGCATTCAGAAGGTAATTATTTTAGAAGTCTTCTCCCAAATAAGTCCTCTAACATTGTCTTTGTACTAAAAAACAAAAACAAAAAAACACATACTTTTCATAATTAGGATACATTTACTGTCTTCCTTAAAGGGTGTAGAATTTAAAGTCTTAAGTGTAAACAGATTGATTGTGTTGAGAACAACATTTTGTATTGAGAAAAAATATATGTATTGTAAGTGAAAAACCAAAATTAAATTAGTACAGATCTTTCCTGTGAGGGATACCTTATTGGAATCGTTAGACTTCTTATTTATGTCTTATATATTTTTCTCTGCTGTTTTTAGGACTTCTATTGTTTTATTTGTAAAACTATTTCAGCAGGTTTTTCTGTTCCGGAACAGTTAGCTACTGGCGGGACTCTGTGGTTTCCTGACCTCACTGCACCGGACTCCACTTGGATTCTGCCTATCTCTGTTGGTGTCATCAATTTATTAATAGTGGAGGTCAGTGGTTTTAAATGAAATTTGTTTGCCATTTATTGGGATTTTCGTTGCTGCTGTTCTGACATTAAATATATTTTTGTTTGAGTTGGTGAAGATAGCTCTGACTTAGAAGCGAGATCCCTTGGTTCCTGGTTCTAGGCCAGACGTTGGCTTAGGCCTGTCCCTTAACCTCTCTGGGCCTCAGAACTCTCGAAATTAAAAGCACTGAATTAGTACATTTCCAAGTCTCTTTCAGCTTCAAAATTATATGATTCTGATGCATAGAATTTTGTGATTTGCTTTTGGTAAAAACAGTAATGAAGATGCCCAATCTGGTTATTTTCTTAGAGTGGTGTTCCGTGTGGGTGTTTAATATGTGAATTTGTAGGCGGGGAATATAATCAGGCGCTGACTGCCATTTTCTTGCTTTATGACCTTAGAAAAGTCATTGAATGCCTTTATAAGATGAAATGGGAAAAACATACACAGAAAATGTGACCTTTCAGTCATGTCTTTTTTTTTGAGACAGAGTTTTGCTCTTGTTGCCCAGGCTGAAGTACAATGAGGTGGTCTTGGCTCACTGCAACCTCTGCCTCCTGAGTAGCTGGGATCACAGGCACATGCCACCACACTCGGCTAATTTTTGTATTTTTAGTAGAGTCAGGGTTTCACCATGTTGGCCAGGCTGGTCTTGAAGTCCTGACCTCAGGTGATCCACCCACCTTAGCCTCCCAAAGCGCTGGGATTTCAGGCGTGAGCACTGCGCTCAGCCCTCTCAGTCATGTATTAACTCTTATCGCAGGCTGCTTTACTCAGCAGTTTTAGGAAACTGTGCATATAATTTCATAAATTGTTCTCAGACTCTGAGTAGAACAGACTGAACTGGAAGAAATCTTAAAAATGATTTACCTCAGTATAGATCTCCTAGACCTCATGACCACTGACCTCTGTTTGTGAAATCTAATATAACCCTTATTTTTTCAGATAAGAACAATGAAGATGTTAGAGTATAAGGTCTTGAGTGAAAGTTTCTTGAGGAAAGACTCCACCTGTAGTCCAAATATGTTTCCCTAAGTGCATGTAGCACAGTCACTGTGGTTGGTAGTCAGTAAATATTTGGTAGAAAGAAGGAAGTGATAAGCACAAGGTTATAGTGAATCAATGTCAATCCTCTAGTCTTTTCCTCTATGTTATCTAAGGACTAATAAACGTTTTTCATAGTGGGGCATGGTGGCATGTGCCTCTAGTGCCAGCTACTCGGAGGCTGAGTCAGGAGGATTGCTTGAGCCCAAGAGATGGAGGCTGCAGTGAGCTGTGATCCCATCACTATACTCCAGCCTTGGCAACAGAGAGACCTCATCTCTAAAAGAAAAATAGAAGCTTATTCTTACTTAACATCCACTATGTGCGCATTGTTTTGTTTTGTTTTGTTTTGCTTGAGACAGAGTCTCACTCTGTTGCCCAGGCTGGAGTGCAGTGGTATGATCTCTACTCACTGCAACCTTCGCCTCCCAGGTTCAAGCAATTCTCCTGCCTCAGCCTCCTGAGTAGCTGGGATGACAGGTGCCCACCACCACGCCCAGCTAATTTTTTGTATTTTTAGTAGAGACGAGGTTTCACCATGTTGGCCAGGCTGGTCTGGAACTCCTGACCTAAAGTGGTCTGCTGCCTCAGCCTCCCAAAATGCTGGGATTACAGGTGTGAGCCACTGTGCTTGGCCATAAGACATCGTTATAAGCAATTTACATGAATCAACTCATTTACTTCTTAGAATAACCCTGTAAACTAAATATTATCCTTTTTTAATATGGAGAAAGTGAGGCATAAAAATGTTAAACTACATAGTTTGGCTCTAGAATCATAATTATGCAGAAGTCTCTTTTTCCCCCCTTCTTTTCTTTTTTGTGGAGACGGTCTTACTCTGTCACTAGTACAGTGGTGTGATCTCAACTCACTGCAACCTGTGCCTCCTGGGCTCAAGCAATCCTCCCACCTCAGCCTCCTTCCCAAGTAGCTGGGACTACAGACACATGCCACCTTGCCCAGCTAATTTTTGTATTTTTTGTAGAGACAGTTTCATTGTGTTGCCTAGGCTGGTCTCAAACTCCTCAGATCAAACGATCAGCCTGCCTGGGCCTCCCACAGTGCTGGGATTACTGGTGCCCCCCATCCTTATGTGGAATTCTTAAGTAGAACTTGAAGAATCCTATGACAATAGCTATCATATAAATCATTGCACTTGTTTTTTGGTACAAAGTGTCAAAAATTCTTCAAGAATTGCACATAATTAGTAAGTGGTTTTTTTATTTTTTTAAGAGACAGGATCTTGTTCTATTGCCCAGGCTGGAGTTTAGTGGCCTGATCATAGCTCACTGTAGCCTCAAACTCCTGGGCTGGAGTGATCTTCCACCTAGGCCAGTTATTAAGAGTTTTAAAATGGATGATGAAGCTGAGTGCAGTGGTTGGTGCATGCCTATTATCTCAGCTACTTGGGAGGAGGAGGTGGGAGGATCACTTGAGCCCAGGAGTTTGAGACTATCCCAGGAGTTTGAGACCAGCCTCAAACTGGTCTGTTTGATAGCAAGACCCAGTGTCAAAAAATAAAAAATGATCAGCCATATAAATTAATCAGTGTTCATATATATATATGTTTTTTGCTTTTATTAAAGTGTAGTTGGAGGCCAGTCAAAAATCAGTTTATATGTTAAAGCTTGTTTGATTTAATATGCATTTTAATAATCATTATGCATGTATATGTTCTACCCCTTCAGATTTATGCTCTACAAAAAATTGGAATGTCTCGTTTTCAAACATATATTACATACTTCGTCCGTGCAGTGTCGGTGTTGATGATTCCAATTGCTGCAGCGATGCCCTCAGTGAGTAAGCACCAACATTGTGTGTAGCATGTGCTAAATCCTCTCTGACTTTAGCTTAGACTGGCTGGAACGCTGCCTGTTGTGTTGAACTTCCTCTGACTACCTGATCCCTTACTGAATCAGAGTTGCTGTAGTAACTAATCTGTCTCTATTTCTTGCCTTTAAAAAAAAAATCTTGCAAAAGGTTTTACACAATACCATGAATATAGTATTTGTTTCATTTGACTACTTGGTATTTTGAATTAGTTCTACCTATGTAGACTGGACCAAGGAATTTGGCACTTATAAAAGAAACAAAACAAAGTGCTAGGACCATTAGGGTTCATTTCTGGTATTATTTAATCTCATAACAACTCTATGAAATAGGTAAACTTGTCCCTGTATATACTGATTTAAACTTTATAGAAATAGAAAAAGAAATGGTTATGTTTGCAGTTAGTTCAATCTTCTGCATGTTTCACACAGATACTTTAGAAGTTGCTATGGAGGCAAAAGCTGTGTTAGATTTATCTCCATGTTTACTCAGAGCCAACACATAAAGTAGAATTCAGTTGTTGTTCATAGTTAGGGTGTATCATATATAAAACGACTTCGCAGTATTTTTTTTTTTTTTTTTTGAGATGGAGTCTGGCTCATCACTCCTTACCCAAGCTGGAGTGCGGTGGCGCAATCTTAGCTCACTGCAACCTCCACCTCCTGGGTTCAAGTGATTCTCCTGCCTCATCCTCCCTAGTACCTGGGATTATATGCACACACCACAATGCCTAGCTAGTTTTTGTATTTTTAGTAAAGACAGGATTTCGCCGTGTTGGCCAGGCTGCTCTCGAACTCCTAATCTCAGGTGATCCACCTGTCTTGGTCTTCCAAAGTGCTGGGATTACAGGTGTGAGCCACCATGCCTGGCCCACTGTATTCTTTATAGAAATCTAAAGCAATATGTTTTTGGTATCAAAATGTATTTTTTAGGTTGTTACTGGACATAATACTGTCATTAATCCTGTGCAGAATAAGTTTGCACGTCCCTAAAATAGATACCATAATGCCTATGAGAATTAATGAAATAAGTGCCTATTGTAGAACTTTTTACATAATAGTAGTAATGTTGTAAAATACCCTGTAAAAGTAGAACAGCACAGATTCACAGCATTTCCACAGAGAAATCATACCAGTTATAACTGAAGAACTCCCCCAGATTGAATAAAATACGAGCAGTGAAGTTTTAGTGAGGATTGAGTTCAAAATGAGTAACAAGAGATCTAAAACACAATGTCTTAACAAGGCAAAATTTGTCCTCTCAATTATAGGAAATCTGGTTAGGCAGCTGAGGGATGATGGGGCAAGTCCATGAAGATGAGAGACCCAGACTGCTGCTCTCTTTCTGATTTGTTATCCACAGCCTGTGCTTTCAAGCTACACTATGGTCATGGCTGCTAGACCTTGTTAACATGTAGGAATAGTAAAGGGTGCCTCAAGTGCAGTCAGCCTCTTTTAAGGAGCCTTGCCAGAAGTTCCACCAAACAGTTGTGTTTACATCTTAATTTTATGGCTACCCCTCGCTGCAGAAGAGACAAGGAAATAGTCTTTCTAAAGGCTGACTTTGGAACAAATGACAAATACAGGTGCCGAATGTGGACCATATACTTGCATACCACGCTACATGAATTATCTCATTTATTCCTCATAGCAATCCTCTGAGGTAGATACAGTTACTGTCTCTACTTTGTAGTTGAGGAAACTGGAACAGAAGGAAAATAACTTACTCAAAATCAAATAGATGGCAAATAGGACTAAAACTCAGGCAGTTTGACTCCAGAACCCAGACTTAACAACTACATGATTTTGTTTCTGAGGCCTGATTACCTTCTGATGCCAAAGAAAAGTCTAGAACGGGGTAAGTATAGAAGTATTTCGAGAGGTTGTAGAACTTAGTTATTGACCTAAATAAATAGTCACCCAGTGCCACAGGCCAGTACCAGTCCACAGCCTGTTAGGAACCAGGCTGCACAGCAGGAGGTGAGTGGTGGGCAAGTGAGCCTTACCACCTGAGCTCTGCCTCCTGTCAGATGAGCAGCATTTGATTCTCATAGGAGCACAAACTATTGTGAATTGCACGTTTGAGGGATCTAGGTTGCGCACTCCTTGTGCGAGTCTCATTCCTCATGATATGAGGAATGGAACAGTTTCATCCCAAAACCTTCCTACCATCTGTAGAAAAATTGGTCCCTAGTGCCAAAAAGGTTGGGGACTACTGGTCAAAATAGTAATACAAAAGAAAATTGGAGATAATGCTGAGGCTGTTTGTCTCAGAAAAAGGCAAAGAAATACATTCCTGACTACACCGAGAAACTGGATGTTGGGAAAAATTTGGATGATAGATGACTATATGGGGAAAATGAGATCTAGGGAGGCTAAGTTTGCCATCATAAATGCCACACCTCCAGTATTCTACCTTCAGTATGTAAGTAGCTAGACAGGACTCTTGGTGAGAAAAAAGTATGCTCCATTGCCAAAGAAGGGAGATGAGATCTCTCTTGAGCCTCTGCCTAGGAGCTTCTCTCTTTTTACTTTCTATCCTAAATACTTCTCTTTTTCCTTTATTTTTGCTTTTTGGTCTGTCTCTAACCTTTTTTACCTGTCTATTAAATCCATCGCAGCAATCTGATAGCTGGTGCAAGTCTTGCTCAGTCTTGGCATATTTCTATTTGCACAGATTGTCATTTTCTTTTTTATTGCCTGTGTCTGGACTGTGATGTCCTTGCAGAATTACAGATGGTAACATTTATGTCTTCTCTTTATAGTCACTTGTTCTCTACTGGTTATGCTCCAGTTTCATGGGCCTTTCACAGAACTTGCTGCTGCGTTCTCCTGGATTTCGCCAACTTTGCCGAATACCATCAACCAAGTCAGATTCAGAAACTCCTTATAAAGACCTATTTGCTGCCTTTTATAGCAAGTTCATTTCAAGAAAGTGACATGTTTTCCAATAATTTTGAAACAGTTGCAAGAGTCACTATCACCTTAATGTATTTAGACTTAGAAATTCAGGTATTATTTGATTTGCCTTTATTTAAAATTATGAACTTCATGAAATATCATAGGTTAAGTTGTAATCCAGGCCAGGTATGGTGGCTCATGCGTGTAATCCCAGCACTTTGGGAGGCCAAGCTAGGTGGATCACCTGAGGTCAGGAGTTTGAGAATAGCCTGGCCAGTGTGGTCAAATCCCGTCTCTACTAAAAAATACAAAAAAATTAGCTGGACGTGACGCTGGGCCCCTGTAATCCCAGCTACTCGGGAGGTGAGGCAAGGCAAGAGAATTGCTTGAACCTGGGAGACACAGGTTGCAGTGACCTGAGATCGCCCTTTTGCACTCTAGTCTGGGCAACAAGAGCGAAACTCTGTCTCAAAAAAACAAAACAAAAAAAAGCTGTAATCCAGATATATTTGACTGTAGTTAAAATCTTTTAAATGCTATAAATGCAGTACGTTTAATTGTGAAAGTATTAAACTAGAACCAAAGTGCCTGTCTCTGTTTATAAAGTTAACAGTTTGTTAGGGCTGCCAGAACTTTGGAGGATAGTGTTAGCTACTGAATGATGTCAAATTAAACTAAACAATACTGCATATTACTGTTTTGTGAAGTAAAAGGATCAGTGAGATGACTTTTTTTTTCTTTTTTGAGATGAAGTCTCACTCTGTCTCCCAGGCTGGAGTGCAGTGGCACAATCTCAGCTCACTGCAACCTCCACCTCCTGGATTCAAGCTATTCTCTCTCCTGCCTTAGCCTCTGAGTAGCTGGGATTGCAAGTGCACACCATCACCTCCAGCTAATTTTTCTATTTTTAGTAGAGATAGGGTTTTACCATATTGGGCAGGCTGGTCTGGAACTCCTGACCTCAAGTGATCTACCTGTGTTGGCCTCCCAAAGGGCTGGGATTACAAGTGTGAGCCACTGTGCCCAGCGTTTTTTTTTTTTTTTTAAATGAGACAGAATCTCTGTCACACAGCACCCAGGCTGGAATGCAGTGGCACGATCTCGGCTCACTGCAAACTCTGCCTCGTGTTCAAGCAGTTCTCCTACTTCACCGTCCTCAGTAGCTGGGGCTACAGGTGTGTACCACCATGCCCAGCTAAGTTTTGTATTTTTAATAGAGACAGGGTTTGACCATGTTGGCCAGGTTGGTCTCGAACTTCTGGCCTCAAGTGATCTGCCCATCTCGGCCTCCCAAAGTGCTGGAATTACAGGCGTGAGCCACTGTGTCCAGCTATTTCTTAATATTTTGGAGGTAGAGAGGATTTTAGACCTCTCTGAGCATCTAAGAAAAGGTTATATGTATGGTTTTCTCTTCAGAAGAATTTTAGGACTCACAACATGGGACTTCATTGATACTGGGAAGGTCTTCTGGCAACTCCTAGTTAAAAATTTTATTCTAATGGAGCATACATTGATGGCTGAGTTAATGTGTGGTTGAAAAAGAAAAGGGGGCAACTTGAAATATATGCGGTAGAGTAATCCATGCATACAAGTACCTAACATGGTAGATGATATTGCCTCCCACCCCTGCTTGGAAAGAATACAAAAAGTGTACATTCCTTTTTCTATAATTTAAGAAGTCTGGAATACAGAGTGTAGCATTGTGTACTGCTAGCACCCAAAGTAGAAAATCATAAGCATTCAGTTTGTTTAGCCAGAGAAGAAAATCAGAACAGCAATTGCCTATTGAGGTGATTTTAAACTTCTTTATTTATAAATATTAAGTACCCTAATAGGCTTAAACTATGATAGAGGTTTAATACAGGAAAAATTGACAGTTATTATAAATTATGGATCCAGTTATTTGCTTGTTGAATTTGTAAAGAGATAAAATTAGCTTTGGTTGAGATAGCAAGTATGGCAGGTATTTGAGAAGGCTATAAATCATAAATTTTCATTTAGTTAAAATATGGACCTGATTCTGGGAAACCCTATCATTCCATCTCAGTGTTTTACAGTAAAATAAAAACTAAAGTGAAATTCATTCATCATTTCTTTGATTGATGTCTCTTAAATTTTAGTTTACCTACTTAATGAAGTTATGACATTTTTTAATATAAAAAATGTACAGCGTACAGAGGTAAGAATTCTGGTTGTCATGTTACTACAGTTCCCTAAGAATTTATTTTAGACATAGAAGGTGGCAGTTAAGACTAGGTTCTCTTTTCATAAATTCCTAGTCCTGATTTCTGGCTGCCCTATTGAGGCAATTGTGCTTCCCAACCACATTGAAGGAATTGAAACATCCTCATTATTTGTGGATTTTGTATTTGTAAATTTGCCTGCTTGCTCAAATCTGTCCATAACCCCAGAACCAGTATTTTTACAAGTGCTTTTGAGGCCATTCATAGGCAAAAATTTGAGTTACCTCCCAGCAGAAGTCAAACAAATGGCACTCTGCCTTCTAATTTCAGCTCTCATACTGTAAACATGTATCCTTTATGAGTCTACTTGGTGCCATGTCTTCCTCATTTCTGTTCTTTTTGTTGGTGATTTCACTGTTTAAAATGCCATCGAAATGCCCTGCTGGAGCGCTGTCTAATGTTCCTAAGCTCAAGAAGACTGTGATGGGCCTTAAGGAGAAAATAAGTGTCTCAGATAAGTTTCATTCTTGCTTGAGTTATAATGCTGTTGGCAGAGAATTCAGTGCTACTGAATCAACAATATGTTGTATTGATCAGTTGACAACATCAAAGCTTGCAGAAACTTAACCATGTATGTTTTCTACGAGCAGTGGTTTGGTATTCACTAATTCAGTGATTGTGGACTTTATGGAACATAAGTACCACAAATAACGCAAATTGACTCTATTTGCAACACGTACAATCAAGGATGCAGAGGCAGAAATGTGTGCGCAGCTTGGGTCATAGTAAAAAGAGAAAAGAATTTGAGGAAAATTTTGGCAGTTACAAATTATCTCTGAAATAACTTTGCCTTTGCTGTGTGTTACTGTGTACTGACTCAGATATTTTTCTCATAATAGCATGAGGGAAATCAGTGTCCTTTTCCCACTGTGTTTGTCACTTTTGCTAATATGCAAAAAATAAGGTTCTATCATACTGTGAAATACATGTTTGGTCTGTATCCCCAATCCCTGACATCCAGCAGAATCTGCCTGCCAAGTTGTAAGTGTCTTTTGTATGTTCATGTGATGACTGGTGGCTGGGGTCCCCAGCCTGACCAACATGAAGAAACCCCATTTTTACTAAAAATGCAAAATTAGCTGGGTGTGATGGCGCATGCCTGTAATCTCAGTCCGGAGGCTGAAGAAGGAGAATCGCTTGAACTCAGGAGGCAGAGGTTGCGGTGAGCCAAGATCATGCCATTGCACTCCAGACTGGGCAACAAGAGCAAAACTCCATCTCAAAAAAAAAAAAAAAAAAAAGTCTCAGGGTAGGGGCAGTTCTAGATCAGCCTGGGCAACATAGTGAGATCTTATCTGTGCAAAAAAAAAAAAAAGTAGGAAAAAACACCTTTGGTATTTCCTATCTCCAGATACTCCCTTTTCAAATAAATGAATCTTCTTTCATGTGCCTATTTTACCTTGTTTACTGTGAGTCCCTTGATTTCAAAATGTATGTTTGTATCTTTTTGCAAATGCATATTGTGTTTAGATTCCTGTTGCTCTCCCACTGTCAAACTTGCAAACTTGAAATTTCTTTTCAAATATATACAGGAAGTTTGAGAATACAGGGCCCTTCCTCCAAGATCCAAAAATAATTTCTGATAAGTGGGAGGGGTGGGGATAGCTGGGATCTTGAGATAAACCCATGTGTAAAGAAATTATGGTATATTATGAACTGAAATGAAGCAGTTACCTGAGATTACCTGACTTCAGGATGGTACTCTGATTTTTTTTTTTTTTTTTTAGACAGAGTTTCGCTCTTGTTACCCAGGCTGGAGTGCAATGGCGCGATCTTGGCTCACCGCAACCTCCGCCTCCTGGGTTCAGGCAATTCTCCTGCCTCAGCCTCCTGAGTAGCTGGGATTACAGGCATGCATCACCATGCCCAGCTAATTTTTTTTTGTATTTTTGGTAGAGACGGGGTTTCACCATGTTGACCAGGATGGTCTCGATCTCTTGACCTGGTGATCCACCCGCCTCGGCCTCCCAAAGTGCTGGGATTACAGGCTTGAGCCACCGCGCCCAGCCAAAAATCAAAATTCTTAATTGCCACCCTCACAGATAATCCAGGAGAAGTTGCAAAGCCTCATTAAGAACCTTGAGGGGAAATCCAAACTTGGGGAGACTTTTCAGGTACCTTTAACAGCACTTGAGAGCTAAAGGCCAAACCTTCATGTGAGAACCACACATTCATCCGTCCAAACCCAAAGAATGGAATTGGAGACACGAAGAACAGCGGAAGCCCTGTGGTTTGTTATATCCGAAGGCTGGCTGACAGTACTTAGATATTATGCCTTGAAAATGGACCATTTAAAATGTTTTCTCACACTTCACATCTCAGAGGAGGTACAGAGGTCCTCCTAGACCACACTGGGAAAATTGTAGTTTGTGTGAAAAAAAATCTTGGTAACTTCTGTGTTTTGCTCCTATTTTTTTTTTTAATTGGATGCGTGATCTGTACCTATTCTTAAATCACCCTTATACCTTCGTATTTTATTCTTTTAAGAATCCCAGGAATCACCTTTTCTTTTTTTTAGGAGTCACTTTTAATTGCCTTTATGTCAGATTTAAGTCCCAGAAGCAGTAGAAATGCAGACCGTAGAAAAAAAGAATGTAGTTTGTTTTTTCCTCTGGATGTTAATTACGGCTACTACAGAATGCAAACTTTGGAATTTCAGGCATAACATTTGAAACCATGAGAGAATTTAGATTTCTGTATTAAAGCTAAATAAAACTTCATGTAAATATGATGTGAAACAGTGAGTTACCATCATAAACACTTGTGCTTTATGAGCTGGTTCAAGAATAACCCAGATAACCTGGCAATTATGTGACTCTATAGCTTTTCCATTTAAACCTTCTTAGTGTTGCCTTAACTTGTAATAATGAGTATTTTCTAGTTATCACTTTATTTTTTTAATATACTATGATTGTATTTTATGAAATCATCTGACTTTGATAAGTTGGAATTTCCTAAAGCCACAGCAGGTTCTGTACTATGTATACAACTAAAATAAGAATATAAATTGATATAAACATAAAACTATAACTACGTATTATATATGTAAGAATTTGATCCATGTGCAGTTTGAGCAAAGCCCTAAAGACCCTGAATTTACATGTATTATTCTGCTAATGATATGGAATATGAAGATTCCAGAAATCTCCTTGATAACTCTTAAGAAAGTGAAAAACAAATTGTTGAACCTGGGAGGTGAAGGTAGCAGTGAGCCAAGATCACCCCACTGCACTCCAGCCTGGGCAGCAGAGTAAGACTTCATCTCAAAAAATAAAAATTAAAAACTACTAGTCGGATCAAACTAATGCTAAGTGGGAGAATCCTTTAAATGGGTAAACCTTGGTGCTATGGTTTGAATGTCTCCTGCAAAACTCATGTTGAAACTTGATCCCCAGTGTGGCAGTATTGAGAGGCGTGGGGCCATTACATGGTGATTGGATCATGAGGGCCCTCTTCTCATAAATTGATCAATTGACTTATGGATTAAGGGGTTATAATGGGAGCAGAGCTGGTGTCTTTATGAGAAGAGGAAGAAAGATGTGAGCTAGCACTTAAGGTGCACATCCCCCTCACCACTTGATACCATGCACTGCCTCAGGTCTCTTCAGAGTCCCTGCTAGCAAGGAGGCTCTCACTAGTTGTACCCCTTTGATCTTTGACTTCTCAGCCTCCATAGCTATAAGAAATAAAATTTTCTTTGTAAATTACCCAGTTTCAGGTAGTCTGTTATAAGCAACAGAAAGCAGACAGTATAACAAAACAAGATTAAATTGATCTGAGAACCTTATAAAATTTAAAAGTTCATAGCTTAGAAAAAGCAAGATAAATCTTAAAAGCTTGCTCTTTGGAAAGCTTTGCTAAAGAATTTAGCAAATTTTAAGAACAGTTACTGAGTATATGAAAGAATAGTTTAATCTTAATAGAAATTAAATCATAGGTAAAAAATCAGCAAGAGAGCATGCATGTGAACTTTGTGTTTATGATTATTCAACATTCTAGATGGATCACATAACTGAAAAAATTGTACAGAATTTTGAAGACAGCCATTTGAGTGTTTTTTATTTTTTTGAGTGGCACAATCTCAGCTCACTGCACTCTCTGCCTCCTGAGTTCAAGCAGTTCTCCTGCCTCAGCCCCCTGAGTAGCTGGGACCACAGGTGTGCACCACCACACCCAGCTAATTTTTGTATTTTTAGTAGAGACGGGGTTTCACCATGTTGACTAGGCTGTTCTCAAACTCCTGACCTCAAGTGATCTGCCCACCTTGGCCCCCAAAATGCTGGGATTGCAGGTGTTCGCAACTGCACTGGGTCTATTTGAGTGTTTTATATCTTCTCAGAGTAGACCTTTCTCTTTCACAGCACCTGAAAGTCATAATGTCCTAAGCACTTAAAATTGACAGCTGCTAGAATGCCAACAAATAAAGCAAACTGAAGCTGAACTAAACTCTCAGGTAAGAACTAACATAGCCACAGAGAGGGAGCTGTTGGGTGACTCAACAAATGCCTTGACTGAAAACTATTAGTGGAATAAAATCTAAAAGCAAAAGGAATTATTAGAAATTTTGAACTTTATGTAGTAATTATATTGCTGTTGTTAATGCAGTTTTTAAAAACTTTTAGTAAATAATGTTTATTAGGTATATTTGTTTGTGCTGCTTATTACCACCAAGAGAAAAATACTATTGAAGAAATTTATTGGAGATATTTTACATCTTTTTCAAAATTTTCTTTTAAGATTGAGGAAATTAGGATCAACCCGAAGCCTTTTGATAAACTAGCCTTTCCATCTGGCCTCAGAGATTGCCCCTGATGAAAATGATTCATTCCACCAAAAGAGA